ATTCACATCACCTGCTGCATGAAGCTTTTTCTTTTAATCAAAGATAATATCTGACTCCGAATTAAAATGTTTCTGATAGTTAAGACTGAGTTTCACCAATCTCAACCTAAGCTTTACATTTTTTCTTGAATTTAGCAATAATCCCTGAAAAACTCAAGTCCATGGATTTAATAAATGCAAACAAAAAAAAAGAAAAGTTTATTTTCAGTAAGAATATGCTGAAGTAGTGGAAACCCAAAATCCAACAGCATTCTACTTACACGGGTAAAAAAAACAAACAGGACAAAATCAAAATAAGGACAAAAGCAAACAAAAAGAACAACATATTTCTCAGAACAAGAATTATGCTATGTAAATTACAGAAAGTGGCAAAAATACTTTAAAAAATAACCAACACCAGATTTTGCACTGAAATAATGTCTGAGCAAAGCTGAGACGAATTTAAAGAAGGTATAGATTAGTAATAATTCTATGTCAGGCAAAGACCGTAGGTGAATGCCCTGCCTCTCGAGCCCTTCCTGTTCTGTGTGGCACACAGATGCAGCGAGCCCACGGCCAGAAGAAACCAAATGCTGCTGTTTCCTCCCCTGCAGTGGCCCTGCCAAGGCTGCCCAGCAGGCTGTGGATAAAGCACCAGAGCCCTTTCTGCTCCAAGGCCCCGTGCAGCGCGGCCATCCCGCACCTGCCCGGGCACATCCCTGCACAGGACACCCTCAACACCTTCCCCCTGCCAACCCCGCCGAGGCTGCCCTCCCACAGCACCTGGGGCACACCGGGCCAGGCTGCTGGGCGCCGCGGGCCCAGGGGCTCTGCCCACAGCCCTGCCAGGAGCCATTTTGTGCCGGCAGAGCCCCACAGGCCTAGACTGCATTATACGGTGCTCTGAAAAACAATAAAGCAAGGAAACAGCCCTATTCTGCACGTATCCTTTACGATGCTCGCGCATCAGGCTCTGCAGCTTGCCCAGCCCCTGCCCGGCCAGCAGCTCGGCCAGTGACTTTCCCCTCTCTGAGCCTCCCTGTCCCAGGCCAGGACACCTTGCCCAGTGCACACGGAATGAATCCCCAACGTGCAGGCTGCATCTCCCTCAAAAGAAACTCCACGTATCGCTCATTTCAAAGTCGAGCCTTGACAATTTCAAAGCTGCCACTATTGAACAAGTTGCCAAAACAAAATCATTCAGCTAAACTCTTTTTTTTTTCCCCAGCTCTTTTTATTAAACTTTCTTTTCACACAAACATTTGAAATGGATAAACATTACCAAAGTATCAGCTAAAAGAAAACCTAAGCAGCACACAACCTTCGTTACTGAGAATAAAATTACCATCTAAATATTAAAATATATCTGCGCCTCTTTTGACAACTGCCTCCTCCAGAATCTGCAGGGGGTTTTTCCATGACTAGAACAGAACAGATGTCTGTAAAGCCATCCTAAACCATCTCCTATCCAGTCTGCAGGGCAGGTCCTTGCTTTGCCATTCTCACTCACCATTGCAAGCTCTTACAAAAGCATTTTTACTGCCTGCAGTTATGTTCAGGTGAGCAGGCATTAGCAAGACAGATTATATTTTTATCCCATACAAACAGCATAGAAAGGTTAACTAAATGTCTTAGTTCAGGGGATGTACAGATTAGTCACTACAATACAAACTATTTCATTCTGCATGCTCCATTATAAAATTAGATTTCTCAAAGAATACAGGTTTTCTCTGGAATTTCACCTCTCCAAACCAGGAGTGCATCTCTGCAGAAATATTTTCCTTATAGGTGATCACAGTAACAAGCATAAATAACAAGGATGGTTTAGCAAACAATTCTCAAAGTTACGCTCAGTTAAAAAAGCTAGTGTTAGTATATGATGCTTTTAATCTGAGAACATTATATTAAAAAAATAAAATGCAAACACACAATACTACACCCTATCCACCACCTCGGAGCTTTACAGCAAACAGATTTGTAATAGAAACTTAATTCCTGATGCTGTAAGGCTGAGACACTTGAACACAACCTGATCAAAATGCCTTCAGGACTCTGCCTTCACACAGTGTGCAACCACTACATGCTAATGGCAGGCACAATGCTTGGAAACAAAAATTTTTTTCAGAGGATTACACTAGACACAGAGACAGATATGCAAAAACAATGACACCAAAGGAATCAAAATGTTCATGGCTCATAAAGCATGGTAGAGATGGAATGGCTCCAGTTCATCGCCTGCCCCTGCTTAGATTCCTTATAGCAAATGAATCAACATTACTCCTTTAAGAAAATCATCCCGAGTTGTGTTCATCTGGGGACAAATCCACCTAATCCCGCTCATACAAGCAAGCACAGCAACTTCAAGGGAGCTGCTAGCTGGGAGAGGCCAGCAGAACATGTCCCCTGTTTGGAAACAGTCCTGGCACTCTTCTGGGGCGTGACACAAGTCCCATTTTCGTGACACACTAGAAGCTGAGCTGACAGGGCACCTGTCCTGTCAGTACTGTCCTGCCCTGGTCAGCTTTGTAATGGTTTTGTCCAAACTGCGAGCACAGATCTCCACTGCCAGGCCCTGGCTTTGAAAATCATGAGCTGTCTCTCCTTAACTCACAAAACCAGCCTAAGACATCCAGGAAAGAAGGTATTTCCCATTCCAGAACTCTCCGTATCTCCCTGCAACTAGCAAGGGTAAGGAACAGGAACTTTTAAACTCTTTTTACAAAAAACCCCTTTTTACTTGTCCCTGAAAGCCGAGGACTAGGCTGCAGGGAGAGACAGCCCTTCTCTGGCGTCACTCCGCAGTCTGACTCAGTCACTCAGCAGCAGCCGGTGCCGGGGCAGAGGCGCTGGCACCAGCACCCACCGCACACGGTTCACGCTCGGGAGGCACGGCCCCTGCCCACCTCACAGCGCTGCACCCTGCGCTGCGAAAGCGCTTCAGGGCCAGCAGGTCCCCTGCTCTCTCTAAACCCACCCCAAATCCATTGCTTCATGTCGTATCACACACACACACAGAGCTGCACCTGCCCAATCCATGCCCCATTTCTGGAGGGCTGCAGACCGGCCTAGGGGGACGCGGGACCTCGGTGGGGTGCAGTCAACAGTTTGCTCCACTCTTCTGCAAACTGGCTGCAGGCCCTGTCTGGATGGGGAGGCCCGAGGGTGGGAGACCGGCTGTGACACCAGGGAAGCCAAATGAGCCAGGATGCTGCTCTTAAGTCCTGGCTATAAAAATGGCAGGGGCAGTGCTGCCAGTTGAAGGAAGCACCTGCGGGGGCAGGCAGGAGCGCAGCTTTGCCAGCATGACCCAAAGCCCCGGGGACCAGCCAGAGACACTGTGGGGCCAGAAACGGCCCCTGCACTGATCCTCCAGTGAGGCCGCTACTCCCGGGTCCGAGACGCTATAACCTCCCGGCCCCGGCTCCCCAGGCAGGACAACCCCAGCCACAGCAGCGGCCCCACCGTGGGACGGCGCTTCAGGCCCTCCCGCGGAGCCCAGCGCGCCCCGCGCCTCCCCGGCTCCGAGCAAAGCAGTAACGAAACCGAGCCTACCGGCACCTTTTCCGAGCCTGGCGCGGTCCGGAGCAACGCAGACACGACCCAGGTGGGTGTCCGAGGAAAACCCGGCGGCCCCCGGTGGCTCCGCTGCTCCTCGCCCGCCGCGGTGCAGGGCGGTCCCGCTCGCCCCCCGGGCCGGACCCGGGCCGGCAGCGCTCCGCGTCCAGCCACGGGCCGGGCTCTGCGCGCAGCGAGAGAAAGACTTCACAGCAAAAGAGAAGCAGACATCCACGTCTAGCCGGGACACCTCCAAGGGAACTATTTTAAGGGGCCAGTGGGGATCTCGGGGACATTTTTTTTTAGCTGTGCAGCTGCAGAGGCTGCAATCCACTTTTCTCCTGTCCTTTTCTGCCCGAGAAACCTTTCTTCCTTTTTTTTTTCTACCTTTGGAGGAAGGAGAGGGTAAATTTGCTCAACGTAAATTTCAAAGCATGCAAGGTTCCGCGGGTCGCTCGCCCGAGCGGCCCCTGCGGCAAGAGGAGGGGATGGGCCACCCCCCGTCCTTCCACTGTGCCCCCCGTCAAGTTCAAGACGGGCCGCTCTGGGGTCTCCCCGGTCAGCGAAGGTGCGGCGGCCGGAGCGCGGGTCCCTGCCTGCCCCTGGGGCTGGGCTCAGCCCGCGGCAAGTCCCTACTGCCGGACGGGGATGCGGAGCCGAGCGGCCGGGCCGGGCCGGCCGTCGGCGCTCCCGCTCAGCCCCGGCCGGCCCGCGCTGCACCGCGATTTCCACCGTCGCTCTGCTTGCTTGGGGCTCCTGTGCGACGCCGGGAAGTTTCTCGGGGGAGATGTTTGATCTCGATCCCTCTCCTCTCCTGAAGACGGGAAGGCTTTTCCGCATCCTAGTCAGAAATAAAAACAGAACAAAACAAACCAGACGATACCGGAGACAGTCCCGCCCGCCGCTCGGTCCTCCCGGGCACCCCCCGGCAAGCAGCCCGGTGTCGGCACGGCTGCCCGGCCCCGCACCCCGCGCTGCCCCGGGCGCGGCGCCGCGCGGCTCGGTACTCACTGGGTACTCACCCGCTACTCACCGTCGGGACCGCCCCGTCGAGGCGGCCCCCCTGCCCCCGTGGCTGCTCCAGCTCGCCGGCGCCGTGCCCCGACCTCGGCCCGCTCGCGAAGCCGCTGGGCGGTGGAGGGCGGGGACAAAGGGACGGCGGAGAGCGGCGGCGAGGAGGGGGCTCCCACCGGCATCGCCGGTCGAAAACAACGGCCCGGCCCCGGCGGCAGCGCCGGCCGGGCCCGCCACGGGACCCGCGGCTGCCCCGTGCCCCGGAGGAGGTCAAAAACGGCTCTTTCCAAAACAATAAACTTTTAATGCTAAAGCAGTTATAACCAAAAGCTGTACAGAGTTGGAATTTTTTTGTTTGTTTGTATTTTTTTGTTAGAAAACAATTTTTTCTCCCCCATAAATATTGTTCAGTTCCCGGCACTTTGTATCAATATTAAATTACGAACGATAAATATGGCATCATGGGTATGTATTTACAAAAAAAGTTATTACAAAAAGGCAACTGTTATACTAAACGTCACAATCTGGGCAGAATAAACACCACATCCTCATCCTGAAAAATACTGACCGACCCCATCAGACGAGAATACATTCACAAGTGTAATGCTTGGAGAGAGAAGGAGAAAGAGAAGAGCAGAGAAAGAAGCAGCAGGAGAGCTAGAAAGGAAAGTTCAAGACATAACAGGACTTTGGCACGGTTTAAGACTGTAAGTTTAAACAATCACCACTAAGGCGAAGGAGAATTTTCATCCTCATGTCAACATCCCACCGAAAGAAAGAAAAAAAAAATTAAGAAAAATAAAGTAAGTGGGGAATTGGAGGAACAGAGACTCAGGCAAGGTGGGGGGGGTGAAAATCAAAGAAACGACTGAGACTGAAAAAAAATGACAACAACAAAAAAAAAAGAAATCTAATCCTGAGAAAAGGACATGGCTAGTCCAGCGTCTGGGCTTGCAAAAAATAGTAATAATTATAATATAATAATAAAAGACCCCCCTCCGCATCCTGGCAGTTAAGTAGGTGTTAGCCCTATGCGGTCGTCGGTGTGGAAACTCCATTTCCGTGGGAGCGAGCTGAAGTTGGCTTGGTTTGTCCTTTTTCTTTCCTCGTTCCCTGTGCATTTGGTCCAGTCTGTGGCCGGGCAGCAGCTGCCTTCACACATACCACTCATTAAAATTGGGGGGCAGTCCAGGGTTATGGCCGGGGTTACTCTGCAGGGCGGCCGGCGGCGTTTTAGTGGAGTCCTTACTGCCGGCGGAGCCCACCGCAGGGGGGGTGGAGGACTCGTACCCCGAACTGGCCGCAGGGGAAGAGTCCGACCCCTGGGATTCGTGCACCTAAAACCAAGAGGCAGAGATGGGAGCGAGCTCGGGGCCTCCGCCAGCCCGCTGGGCTGCTCCTCCGTGCAGGAGGGGCACTGTGAGCAGCGGCTCGGCCCTGCCCGGCCGTCAGGCAGCCCGTGCCCCGCGACAAACGCCGGCCGCGGCCCCGGACACGGTGCAGCATCCCCGCACGAGGGGCCGCAGCCACGGGCGAGCCTGCACTGGCACAGCCTGCCCGCACCGAGCCCCGCTCCGCACCCCGGGCAGCGCTTGCACCGGGGGCGGCACGGAAAGAAACTGCGCCATTTCCCCGGGCTGTGCTCCAGCCACTGCCCAGCCAGCGGGGACGGCTCGGGCCGCGCTGGGAACACGGAGCTCAGCTCTGCCCTGCTCTGGGGAATGAGCCCTGAGCACACCAGCGACTGAGCACCGCTGCTCAGGGAGGAAAGGGCTGGAGCACTGCGGTGATTTACCTTCATGTGTTTCCTAAGTGAGCTGGGGTGGGTGTAGGATTTGTCGCACACCTTGCAGATGTAGGGCTTGTCCGAGGTGTGGACGTGCATGTGTTTCTTCCTGTCACTGCTGTTGGCGAAGCGCCTGTCGCAGCCCTCAAACTCGCACTTGAAAGGCTTCTCACCTGTGAAATTTAGAGAGGGTGAAGGAGGGCCGTTCCCCTCTCCATCCCCACCCGCCTCCTCCCAGGACAGCATCTGCCCTGCTCGCCCCACCTTATGGATGCACAAGCACCACAACAAATGAAGAAGGGGAAGATGGACGGCAAGATTTGTTACGTGTCGGATAAATTTGGATCAGCCTTTATGACTTTTAACTCACCTCCCGCCAGGCCCACGCTGGGCTCCAGCAGGGAAGGCGGCTGGGCGAGCTTGGGAAAGAAGACCCGAGATAAATTCAGCGGCTTGGACAGCTTTACAAGACCTACTCGAGGATACAAGCCAAAGTACGTTTGCTTCCAGCCTTCCCCCTCTCTTCCCTCCACCCATGCAGGAGGGCTGAAGGAAAGTCGGGGATGTAAATAAAAATACTTTGACAAAAGTATCGCCGATTTAATTAGAAGAGACGCCAATCAGGCCTAAAAATAAAAATAAAACAGGAGCGGAAGTCACCGAAAATGAGATTTCATTAGCATTTCTCTGGTTCCCTCCTCTGCGGAGGCCGAGAGCGGAGGCAGCGCCGTGCAGCCGGCGGCCGCCGGCCCAGCCGGTCCCCGCAGCCCCCGGAGCCCCCCGTCCCGGAGGGGGGACACACGCACACGGGCCTTACCTGTGTGCGTCCGCTTGTGAATCTTGAGGTTCTCGGAGCGGGCAAAGATCTTGCCGCAGCCCGGGAAGGGGCACGGGAAGGGCTTTTCCCCCGTGTGCACCCGAATGTGGTTCACCAGTTTGTATTTCGCCTTGAAGGACTTGCCTTCCCGCGGACACTCGTCCCAGTAGCAGATGTGGTTGTTCTGCTCCGGCCCCCCGACGTGCTCCATGGTGACATGGGTCACCAGCTCGTGCATGGTGCTGAAAGTCCTGTCGCAGCTCTTCTTGGGCCGGCTGAGCTGGCTCTCGTCGAGCCACTTGCAGGACAATTCTTGCTTGATGGGCTGGCGCATGTACCGAAAGAAAGCGCCGGGGCCGTGGTGGTGGTGGTGGTGGTGGGCCGCCACGTTCATGCCCATATTCATATTCATGTGGTTGTAGTTGTGGAACTGGGCTCCGGCGTAAGGGTCCGTGCGGGGGCTGGAGACGGCCCGGTAGGGATCCGGCCGCCCGAAGAGGTCCCCGCGCAGCCCCAGGTGCATCTGCCCGTTGTCCACATGCCCGTTGGGGGACGTGTGGCTCGGACTCTGCTCATGCAGCCCAGGGAAGAGCAGGTAGCCCGGGGTGTCCGGGATGCCGCCGGGGCCGTGCAAGCCGCCGGGGGAGCCGCCGAAGAGCCCGTGCTGCGCTGTGCCGGAGGCGGCGTCCGCGATGCCGGAGCCGCGGTTGCGGAACAGAAAGTCGCGGGTGGAGTTGAAGGCGGCGGCCCCGCCGTAGGAAGGCACCTGGCCGGCGTGGTGGTGGTGATGGTGGTGGTGGCCCAGGGCGCTGGCGTAGCCCGGCGCCTGCGGCGTGAATGCCGAGCTCTGCCCGGCGGCGAGGTCGTGCGGGGCCGCGTTCAGCTTGAAGGCAGCGGCGTGCGAAGAGTCCCCGAAGGGGCCCAGCCCCATGCCGCCGCCGCCGGCGTCGCGACCCGGCATCTCGTGGTGGCGGGGCGCCGCAAAGCCGCCCACCCCCAGCGCCGGGAACTGCGGCCCTCCGTCCAGCAGCATCGTCATGGGCGCGGGGCCGTCGGCGCGGCAGCAGCCTGCCCGCCCCCCTCCTCCTCCCGCCCGCCCCCAAAAAAGTACAAAACCACCCCAAAATGCACCCCCACTCCGCCCCCCGCTGCGGGCAGGCGCGGTCCCGGCCGCGGGCGGGCAGCGAGGCGAGCACCCCCCGGCCGGCACCAAAAACAAAACAAACAACAACAACAAAAAACCAAAACAAAAAAAAAAAGCCAAAAAAAAATTCCCAGAAACAGAACCACAAAACCCAAACCAGCCACCCGCCCCCCGCGCCGGGCCGGGCAGGGCGGCGCAGCAGGGCGAGGAGGCGCGGGGCGGCCGCGCTCCCGCTCGGCGCCGTCGGGGCACTGACGGGGCGCCCGTCCGCGCCTCGCACATAAACCAACCCCGGCCCAGGCCGCGCCGCGCCAATGGGGAGCCGCGCGCCGCCGGTCACCTGACCCGCCGCCCGCCGCCCCATTGGCGGCGCCGCGCTTGATTGGCACGCGCCCCGCGCCGCCGCGGCCGCTGATTGGGCGCGCGCGCCCCGCAGGTAGAGCGGGGCCGGCCGGGGGGGCCCGGGGCGGCGGGAGCCCCGCGCGTGGGGCGGCCCCGCGCGTCCGGCCGTGTCCCGCCGTGTCCCGCTGCTGTCCCGCCGTGTCCCGCCGCCCGTGCCCTGCCAGCGCCGCCCCACGCCGTGCGGGATGCTCGCCCCAGGCGGCGCGGCGGGGAGGCGTAAAGCCGCTGCAAAGCCGCCGCGCTGATTCAAAAATAAAATTTAATTAAAAAAAAAAAAGCTAAAGCCGAGGCTGTTAGAGTTTATTTATGTATATATATATATATATACATTTCTATATAATCATATATACTTTATATATTTGTTTTATTTTTCTGTCCATTTTTCTCTTGACTGATTAAACGCGGGAGCAGAACCGCCCGCAGTGTGCGTGCGGAGCCCGCTCCTGCCCCTCAGCCTCGGTGCGCAGCGGGACCGCGCCGGGGCTCACCCCGCCGGCCGAGCCCAGCCCCTTTCCCCCCTCGCTCCGTCCCCCACCCCCTGCCGGCCCGCGGCTCCTGCCTCGTTTTTCCTACTCTGGTATTTTCTTTTCTTTCTTTTCTTTCTCTCTTTCTTTCTCTTTCTCATTTTTCCTTCTTTCTTTCCCTCTTTCTCATTTTTTCCTTCTTTCTTTCTCTCTCTTATTTTTTCCTTCTTTCTTTCTCTATTTTTCCCCCTTTATTTTTTTTTAATTTTTTAAATTTTATTTTGCAAGGGAAACGTTCTGCCTTGGAATAATTATCGGTTGCAGACAGCGCTATAAATCCACTCATTTTCTGTTCTGGAAAGCATTTGCAAAGAACTATGGGGAGCAAGAGTGGAAATAAAAGGCAGAAAGAAAGATGGCTGTAATTGTAATATCCTGAGGTTTGCTGAGCCCCCAAGTCTGGCTATTGGGCTGGTCTCAGGCTCGCCGCCGGCTCTCTGCAGGAAACGTAAAATCTGATCAAGTTCAGAGACGCATTGAGAGCCCGCTTCAAGCAGCTCTTTATAACCGCGGCCCTTTCACATTCTTCCCCCAATCAGCCCCGGGAAAGGCTTCGTCTTCTTTATTTTAAGGTTTGTAGGGAGAGAGTAAAAGACAAATTAAAAAAAAAAAAAAAAAAAAAAAAGACAGAGAGAGGGAAAAAAAAAAAAAAAAGAAGAAGAAAGAAAGGGGAGACAAAAAAGCCACCGATATAAAATGTCCCCGAGAGATAGCACCGGTACCCGTCAAACACTCAAATTTCCCAGGCCACAGCCGCCAAGAACAGTCCTAAAGTTGGAAGGTGAGTCCGCCGCTGCCGTTGGTGCACGATGGCAGCAGAGCAGGAGGCGGGAGCGCGGGGACCCGCCCTGGGGGCACCCACCGGGGCCCGCCCTGGGGGCACCCACCGGGGCCCGCCCTGGGGGCACCCACCGGGACCCGCCCTGGGGGCACCCACCGGGACCCGCCCTGGGGGCACCCACCGGGGACCCGCCCTGGGGCACCCACCGGGACCCGCCCTGGGGGCACCCACCGGGGCCCGCCCTGGGGGCACCCACCGGGACCCGCCCTGGGGGCACCCACCGGGACCCGCCCTGGGGGCACCCACCGGGACCCGCCCTGGGGGCACCCACCGGGGGCGGTCGGGGCCGCCTTTTGCTCTGCCCCGCAGCCGCGGCCGTTCCGCGGGAGCCGAGGGGGCCGGCAGGAGCGGCTCGGCCGGGAGCCGGGGAGCCGGGGCAGGGCCCGGCACAGCCGGTCACAAGCGGGGACAGCCGGGGACAGCCGGGCAGAGCCGGTGCGCGGCCTGCGGCCCCCGGGGCGAGGCCCGACCCCCCTTGCTGCTCCCCCGAGCTCTACCTGCCGGTCTCCGGAGGGCTGCGGCGGGGTCATTCATTACCTCCCGCGCATGTAGGGCTTTCTCGACAACAACCAACCCCACAATAAAAATTAAAAAAAAATAAATTACAAAGAAAGAAAGAAAGAAAGGAAGAAAAAAAAAAAAAAGGCCGGGGGAGGGGGTGCAAATTCAATTATTCCCGTCAGCTGAGTGTCGGGGAGGGCAGCGCCTCTGAAGTCGCCGACCTGGAGCGACCGAGGGCGACTGACCCCTGCTTGTGCAGAGGCCTCACGTGTGGCATTGTGTCCCCAGTGGGGGGACGCGCCGGGGCCGGGCCGGTGCCGGTGCCGGTGCCGGTGCCGGTGGCCGAGCGGCGCTGCCCGCCCGGGTGCCCACGCCACGCGGGGCTGCGGCTGCCCCGACCGGCGGCGTGGGTGTGGGCTGGGAAAGCTCCGGCTCGGAGAGAAGGAGCGAGTGTGGCTCCACGGCGGCAGGAGCTTTTAAAAAATTACACTTAAGTTGTTCTTCGCCTAAAAAAAATCTCTCCGCGTCGGCAACGGCGCGAATCGGGGGCTTCGAGAAAAACATCCCTAGGGCTTGGGATCGGGAAGAAAACCGAAGCGATCGTAGCTTTGGACGAGAACTCCCCGTTTCGGGACGGTTTGGTGGCCACAGCCTGCCTAGCAGCTGTGTAGTTGCGGATCGGGCTACATCAATTAACCTATAAATCTCTTTTTATACGTTTCCCACTTCTACTCTGCCAACTTTGCCTGGCTGTGTTCACCCGGCAGCATCCGCACTGGCGTTCTAGCACTGTTTACAGCCCATCGCTTCCTGATTGGAATTTGCCAATTCGGGGAGCAAAAATTGTGTAAAACGAGGTGGGGATTTTTGGTTGTTTGGGTTTTTTTGGTTGGTTTTTTTTTTTTTTTTTTTTTTAATCATTGTCCGTATAGCCTATGATTGTTTTTCCCTTGGTGAGCTTTCGGAATATATGTGTGCATATATATAAATATATAAAATATATTTTGTACTTTATTTTATCAATTCAGTAATTTCCATTTTTATTCAGCGGTATTTCTGGCTAAACTCAATTAATTTTCCAGAAGTCGGGGTACCTCTCATCTCTTTTATTTAAAATCTATCTCAATTGCGAACGTGAAAACAACAGCAACCGGAAAAGTAGTCTCCAGGCTCCCTTTTCCCTCCGTGCTCCCAACGCGAGGATAAGGCAGAGGAAGACCCCCTGCTTTACGTCAAGAACAAATACTGTGCAGTTCTCCCACCTTTTTGTTTTGTTTTGGTTTGGTTTGGTTTGGTTTGGTTTTGAGTGGTTTTGGAACTTAAGAGCTACAACAATGTAAAATCCCCTGGAAAGCGTGCGGGTCCCTCGGTGCCCCCTGGCAGGTTTGCCAGGCCCGGGGACCCTGGGGCTGAGCGCTGGCACGCTCCGAGAGCCTTGCCCGGGAGAAGAGCGCGAGCTCCGGGCCCTCCAGCGCAGGAGCAAAACGCGGTCCCCAGGGGGTGCCCACTCCTTACGGCCGATTCTGCAGCGGGGCTGGGGCAGGTGAAGTTCAGCAACGGCCCCGGGAGTGGCAGGTCTGTGGGTCCGTGGATTTCCCTCGTCCCTTGCACCGAGGACGCGAGGAAAAGGCAGAACAAACTCGGGAAAACAGCAACAAAAGTCCCCTCGCGCTGAGCTGCGAGCCGGAGGCGAGGGGAATATTCCATCCACCCTAAAGAGCTTTTAAACTGCGCTGTATCGCGGTTAAATGAATATCCTTAACAAGCGTAAAGACAAGTAGTTTTTCTCCTGCCATAAACATATTGCACCTCCGGTGTAATTATATGCAAACCAGGAGCGAACGAGACATTTCCATTGTAGCTGTCACTCAGCGGAGAGGGAAGCACATGTACATTTGAACTTCAGAGATCCGGGCTGGAGTAAACAGGTCTGAACTTCGGCAAGGGGAGGGGGCGAGGAATATCAAAGGCCAGACGAAGGCAGGCAGAAAGACCGGAGTGGCGAGGAAACGTAGGTGCCAGCGGGCTCCGTCCTGCACCCGGGGAGCCGGGCCGGCACCGACGCTGGCAACCTCGCCCGGGCACCAGGGTTTGCTGCTCGTGTTGTGGTGATGGGAGAAGTTTCCCCCTGAAATGAAGATAACCGTTCAGCTGCGCGGGAAATATGCATCGGGCTCGGAAGCGAGTGGGAAAACTACAAGGACCGGTACAAGTGCTGCATAATAAATTGTGTCCTGTCGCCCAAATGGGGCCGAGGCAAACCTAGGAGTAGGGAACAACGGGGGTCGCAGCCCTGCGGGGAGCTGAGGCGGCTCCCTGCACCTTGGGGTGCCCACGCACCGGAGTCACCCCAGGAAAGGCCACCCTCTGGAAGGGGAAAGCGCCCACTCCTCATCTCCCCCACCGCCTGCCGCTCGCTAAACCATCGGTGGGAGGAACAGCGAGCGGGCAGCGGGGGAAGCCGGGGCCTCGGCGCCCCGGCCCGGCCGAGAGCATCCGCACCCTCCGGCCGCCCCCTTGAGAACCCCCCCACGCCTCCGAGGAGCGGAGAGGCTGGGGGGAAGCAGCGAATATCTCAATCAGCGAGGAGGTGACCTGTGACCCGAAGGGTGGCTCTATTGTCCCGC